GTTTTGCATCTGCCAGCTTACAGAAAAGCAACAAGACTTCAGTGAAAAGGGATAAATCACCCTATTAGGAAGGCGCATCCCTTCCCTCTTCATTTTAGCCTAAACTGAAAGAAAAGTAGGGATTCGCAAAAAAGATGGAAGTAATAAAAGCTTACTAGAAACCCTAGTTGGACAGTCTCCATGCAGAAAGTGAAGAAATGAATAAACTACACAGTGGTCTTGTCCTATTGTTGTCTGGGTTCTTCTGTCTTCTGCTTGGGGTAGTCCTTTCAAGAGAACATGTACAAGCGAAACGCGCACAATTAACACTGATAAATAAACCACCAGGAAGCTGAACAATGTTATTTTGTAAAGATCCCTCTGGGATATGGTTTTTTTCCTGAGTTGTACTTAAGGCACAAATGAACAACCATTATTTTTTTGAATCAGCATGAAAATGAACAAGGGACCAGGAAAAAGCTATGAGCACAGCAAGGCTAATTGGGGAGCAAGCAGATGTTATTAGTAGCTCCAAAGAGAATTAATCATCTCCCAGGTTTGGTTCTACACAACAGCTCATGCAGATTGTTCACATATTCAGGTTTTAATAAACATTACCGCATAAATCATGCAGAATTAAGCATCACGAGCTTAAAATCAAGCCCTCCCTCACATCTTTCAGGCCACTGAGAACGTGGGAGTCATGTTTTCAGCACAAGAAGATGTTCCCCCAGAGGAGCCTTTGGTGTTGTGCCAACCTTCATTAGCATTTAGCGAAGCAAGCAGGAGAAAACACAGATATGCATGAGTCAGAGGAGAGCAAAACAACAGGGTTAGGGTTTATAGACCCTATGTTCGGTGCATTTTAAAAGGTAGCTGTTGATCCAGTGCATAGACACTGAGGAATAACAATGTTTAAAATCCTTGCTTATGTGCACAACTTTCCAGTAAATCCCTAAAACTGCATTTGCTGCATCAAAGACTGCACTATAAAGCTCTCAAGCACTTCGTGAAAGCAGATGGGTCACTGGCATTCTTGCAATTATTAATTTTCCTCATTAGTGAATTCCCTTTTGGATACAATATAAAACACACAGATAGCACACAGAATAGCAGTGGTGTGAAAATGTCCAGTTTCACATATGGGGACGTTTTACTGAACTTGTTTTAAACAGAGTCCTTCCTAAGCAGAAATGGCATGTCAACTGTAGGATTTATAGAGGAAGAGAGGGAGATTTGTCTGTTCATTGTGGCTAAGTGTAGGTGCCATCACTGCCACATTGGTCAGCCCTAGCTTTTGATAGGTAATTTAGAAGAACAGATGTTTTCTCTGGGAACATGTCCAGACCTTCAAAAAACTCATGAAGAACTCAGTAGTGGCCTCTGGTGCCAGCAGCAACAGCCTCAACAGTAATGAAGAAATACGGAGTAAAGAGCTGGATTTCTAAGTCACAGCAGAGCAGCAGCGACGTTGCTTGATTACCTTTATGAGTGACATAGGCTGCAGTGATGAACTAATTGGTGATTGAGAGTTAAATGGACTGAACAAAGCTGTAAACCCTGGACATGTTAATATGCCCGTTATATTTTCATCAATCCTCTTTTCTCATTCTGTTCTTTTCAAAAAAGCCCAGGAGTGACATCTTTCCTTCCCATCAGCTGCACTTGCAACACCAGCAGAGACAAAGGGCATCAAGCCTTACAGGACTGCAAATGCATGAGAAATCTGCGAGAGATTAACTACTGCTTTTCATGCAAAACTGAACTAATAATGACTTTTCCTCATAGATCATGTTCAAACTGAAAGGGGTTTTAATCCATACAAAAGATTCTGTAAGGCTTTATCGTTAGTCCAAGGACTATTAAGCATAAAAGAATGTACTTTGAAATTTGTCTTTTTCATACTCTTCAATCACTGCTCAGCCTTGCCTTTTCTCTTAATGCCCTGTCCAATTTGTACTGGAAACACCTTAGAGGATGTCCTGACAAAACACTATGATAGAACCATAGAATGCTTGGAGTTGGAAAGGACCTTAAGGATCACCTAGTTCCAACCTCCTGCCGCACGCCATGGCTTTCTGTCTGAAACACCTCTTGGTCGTCTTCTCCCTTATCTTCAAGACCAGCACTGCTCACCAAGTGACTGGGGAAGGGAGGAAGAAGAGGGAAGGAGGGGACTGACCAGGAGGGACCCAGGCTTCCTCTGGGGTATGGGACTTCCAGAAGGCTCCTTCGGCACCCCTGAGATAACCCAGGACCAAACCCACCAACGCTGTAAGCTGCTCTCCCATGAACCCATCCCAGTGCCCTATCAGGGGATCCCATACCCAGCACCAGCACGTCCATCGTGGGCAGAATCAAAGCCACTGCCCTCTGAAATATGTGACAGCCATGCTGTCAGATGTGAAAGTCTGACTCTAAAGGCATGAGACTGAAAGCCTTGGAGGCTGAGTTAGCCATCATGGAGCCAGGCTTTGAGTAAATCTAACATAACAAGCTTCCATTTAACTCAATTTCATACGCTGTTATTGTATTCCTGCAGTGGTTTACAAAGTGCATATCCCAGCACAAAGGAAACAAAACAGGAACAGCACTGCATTGTCACTGGTGAATTCAACGTTAGCTACGCTGTACCTGGAAAAATCCAGCTTCCTTGTGCTGCAGCAATTCAGTGGGCCAGTTAATCAGGTGCTGCAAATCAGCGTAACTCTGTCTGGAAGCCTCAGCAATAACACAAGATGTTGCTCTCCAGATTACTTTTTGCTGAGCCTACATGCTTTATAAAGCCACTACAGCAAGTTGATAATGATGCATGAAATGAAAAATCCTTCTGAGCATACCCAAAAGCACTGTGGATGTGCAAAGCAATCGCAATGGTGCTGTGTTCTTTGATGGTTCTTACTACACATATGTCCACACTAATATATCCAGGCTTTCACTGGTTTTAAATAGGTGCAGATTCACCTCTTGTAATGCATTTTACTCCTGATTAACACAGCCTTAAATATGAGTGGAGTCAAACATACAGCAGTATTCAGGTCAGGCCCAGAAAAAGGAATAGAATGTTGTGGGACTAAAGATGAAAACCATTAGTGGTGTCACTCCACTGATTTCAAAGCAGCAGAGGATTTGGCCTAGTTACTTTCCTCATTGCCGTGCCCACCCTCTGAGGCAAGGGTAGCTGGGTATTGTGAGAATAAAACCACTTTGGGGTTGTATGTGCCACTATCCCACATCAGCAGTGGTTCTTTCAGCATTACAAAACTTGCTGGAAACTGTTTGGAGACTTTTCAAAGTAAGTTTTCAATACTTTTTCTATTCATCTCTATAGTCACTGTGCTACTCAAAGGTTAGCAGAAATAGCTGCAGGCAGCAGAGGGATCATAGAGAGATCACACGAAACACAGCCTGGTTTCTGGAAAAAAAAGGAGATTCAGCTCCTCCTCTATACCATTACTCTGTACCACTTTGACCATTTGGGGGCATTAAGTATTGGAAATAGCTCAGAAAGCATTTGGCTCAACATCTATGGCTATATATCATAAGGACTACTATATAATGCAACTGCTTTAAATCCACCTTAACCAGAAAATGTAAGCTATATAATGCCAAAAATGTCATTAGAATGTAAGACTGCACATAGCCATACTCCTAACATCCTTCCAGGGTTCATTCCATATTGAAAACCAAAGATTAAACATACTGCCTCATGCACATTACACCATTAACTCTGTACCATAAATCAAAGACAGTATTTTCTTTACGGCACTGGCTTCCTCAGCCAGGTACCAGGGAGATGAGATGTAGTACTAAGTATGTGGGAATCAGATCATCCTGAATTCAGTTCACTTGTGGAACTACAATCTCAGCTGACAATGACATTTAGGGATCTGAGTTTTTACAGGCAAATTTTTGCTTCCCTACAGAATAGGATAGGAAACTGGAGACAAGTCCCCAGATGTATCACCCAAATGTAATGAAAGCAAGGCAACACATTTGTCTTAAAGCACAGAGCAACCACTCAGAGATGTTCATTACAGCAGTACAGGTTTGACATCTATAGGTAAATGGAGGGGCTTATTTAATAGAATAGAATCACAGAATAGTTAGGGTTGGAAAGGACCTTAAGATCATCCAGTTCCATCCCCCCTGCCGTGGGCAGGGACACCTCACACTAAACCATCTCACCCAACAGAATCATAGAATAGTTAGGGTTAATCATAGAACAGTTAGGGTTATTTCCTTGTTTTTATTCTGGATCTTGCCTCAGAGAGACTCTGGAGATACTCCAGATCACTTTCCTTACTGGTTCTACTTGCTCTGCTTCCAAAATAGGGCAATGTTAGTTTGTTTTCTCTAAATTTGTTTATAATCTCTTGATTGCTCATTGCTTGTAGCATATTTCAACCTATGCCCAGTAGGCTTTTCTTTGTCTATTTGCAGCTTCTCTCAGTGAAGTTCTGTGGTCTGATTTGGGCATCTTGGCCAATGCTTTTGACACATTACCTATTTCATTTGCTCTTAATTCAGTCATTCAGCAATCAGATCTGGAGCTTTCTATAATTACGTGACTCCTCAGGGAGCTGCTCCACAATGTTACACCAACATTTCCCACTTCTTCAGCAAATTCAAGCAGATGTTTGATATATAAAAAGAACCCCATCTTTAATAATCTCTTTTTAATTGCTTCTAATTAAGTTATTGCAACTGTAGATGTCTCATATTTCACAATGCTTCATACTGCACGTTTTCAGACTTCAAAATCTGCACAGTTACTGCTCTCTGGGAGGAGAAAACCACTCCCAGAACTGAAGGAGCATTCTGCTCTCCACACTACATGGTGCACCATACTCTAGTTAATCTTTTTGGAATCCCCTCCATTATAAATAATAATAACTTTAAAGCAATGTTTTAAATTATGGGGTTTAATGCTCCTTTTGGAGTTTTCTCGTTTCATTTCTTTTCATCATGCTGGATGCCTATGAAGACACAAAAACCTCGACAACATGAAGTTTCCTTACCTGTGTACCAGCTGCTTGCGGCTTACACAGATCGCAGTTTCATAGTCATGAGTGACACACACTTTATGTGGGCTGCACTTCACCTTCAAACATGGATCTTTAGACGGATCAAGGGCTATAAGAGAAAATACACATCAAAACAGAAAGTGAGAAATGTATATAAAATTATCTCTTGCTTGGCAGATGATAAAGGGAATGAACACTTTGCCTTTTTATAGTATATGCTGCTGTTTCCAGACTGCATGTTAAACGGAGATCGACAGCCTAAAGACTGATTATTGAACAGTGATTTGAGTATAACTTGGCATTCACATTAGTATTAGATATGATGCTTTGGGATAAAATTCTGGTATAATAATCCTGCAGTTCATTTCCTAGAAAAGTTATGGTGGAATAAAACACAATCACAAGTAACAAAATTACTAGCATTTTAGAAGCTATCTAATAACTGACATGCAATGGGACATGCAATCCTGCATTGGAAAGTGCAGGATACAAGGGCTTACCACCCTCTGGTACCCTCTTTACAGTTCTGATTAGGAAAAATCCCATGAACATTCCTCCTGACCATATCCCTTTAGCAATCCTCTTGCTAAAATCTGGCTCACAGCCATACACAGAAATTTCATCTTTGAGTAAGAACTGATTTTTAGATAGCTTTTTGGGGCATTATTTTGTATTTGACTTTCTGTTCCTCTACAACGTATCCTCAAATCACATTTTACCTCTTCTCTCCCTCCCCAGCTAATGGGCCACTCTTGGAAATGAGCAACTCTTAGTTTGGTTTTGGGGACTGGATAAAGCTCTTATTGCACATTACCATAACTGAGTTTCCCGTTTTTACAGAACCATTAGAGAAACTTTTAAAGGACACTCTGAAGTACACGAAGCTTCACTTCACTATGTACCAAATCTCTTTATATGGCAGCAAATGTCCTTTCATCAAGCAGAGGATTCTTCTGTTTTCCTGCCGTGCAGCTGTTCGGTGTTGGTTTAAACAGCCATAGCTACAAGTTCTCACCACATTAACACCCATTATGCATTTGTGATGGGCAATTGAGCTTCAGTAGTGCATATGTATTTAGTGGAATGCCTTTGGTGCAAGACACGGGGAAATCGTAAAAACAAAACAAAAGTGTTAAAAGCTTTTCTTTTTAAAGCCATTAAAACTGATGGAAAAGGGAGACCATGTGTTTCCTTACCATAAACAACAAGGCATCAGCATCCCATGAGTTGCCCTTAGGACAATACATAGGCACTGCTTGAGGGGCCAGGGTCTGCCCCACTGAAAAGACCAAAGGCTGTTGCCTTTTGGTGTCTTTTCTAAGACTAACAGGCAGGAGACATAGCCCATCCTCTTCTCTTTACTTCCCAGAACACACAAGGTAAGATCTACTTTCTTAATCCTTTTACTTTGCTTGCAGTAGAGACTGAGGCAGATACATGACAGGGATTGAAATGGTAAACCACAATTTCCTTACCTATTCTTAAAATGCAAACCAGAGCGAGACACCCTCCTTCTGCAAAGCCTTTGATGAGTGAGCACCACTTGGAGCGTGAAGGGTCACCAGAGCATTGGCTGAGTGGGCTGATGAGATTCAAAGGTCATATCCACATGAAAATATGCAATGACCAGAAGTTTTGCTCGCCTGCAGCTGGCTTTGCTCTTTTACTGAAGCACATGCAGGTTGTCTGCGTTTTGCTGGTGACACATCCTTGATGCAAAACGCTGCATCAACAGAAACCATTGTGCAAGTTGGCTAGGAGCCCAGGGCTAATAGCTGCCAACATTGCTGGGCTGCTGGTGAGCGCTCTCTGGCCTTGTGCTTATAGGTTTCTTTCAGCCAGAGTTAGTGGGAATATGGGTTTAGCCTTGAAGGTCAATATGATTTTGTCATGAATAAGAGAAGCAAGATTTAGGCCCACGTGGTCTAGGGGACATCTTGCACAGTTTCAATACTTAGCATTAAAGAACTGTATCCACTTCAGGAATTCCTTAAGTCTTCTAAGGCAATAAAAATGCATGCACTTCTGAAGTATGTGTTCTGAATTAACATCACACAATACATTATTGCTTTAAAAGATCCAACTTTCAAATATTCTGCGATTAAAAAATTGCATATTGAAAAAGGAAACTATTGTAGAATGGTCATCAGCTGGAAGCAAAGGGATGGGAAAAGACGTGGCTGGAAATTCCAGTCACTATTTCCATTTAAATCAGGCCTCAACTCTCTACTTCTGTGTCTTGCTCCTAAAATCTGAAAAGAATTACCTGACAATAACAATAAATAAAGCTTTTCCCTTCTTGCATGCTGGATGAATTATTTCATTCATGGTGGAAAAGCTCATTCATGAAGATCTTTAAGTGGAACACACTATAGAAGATCATTTATTGTTCATTACAAACAGCCCTTACACACAGTTCAAAACCAGTAGAAGGAAGTTTATTAAATTGAAGCAACACTGCGGGCTATGTCAGAAGACACCAAAAAACCCCACAATGTGAATTATTATTTAAGGAGGTTTTTTTTCCCCACTTACGCAAAATGCATGATCCTCATGAATATAAAAGGTCAAAATAGGGATTTCTCTGTCTGCAAAGTTCTTCAAGATATTAAATAAGTTTGGAAGGTTGCCCTCTTGCTAAGCAACACAAGCCCTAAGGAGAGCTTATAATAAGAAACAATTTCTGGAATATGCTAATCAAAGATCCTGCTTTGTTAATCAGATTTCTACATGACTAGGAGCAGATGCTCATCATCTGCGGAAGAAAAGACCCTTGGGAATAAGATGAAATGCAACAACCATATTTGTCATCACAGTTCTTTTTGTCCTAAAGCGATGAGTTTGAAATCTTTGACAAGGGAGAGCCAAAAGTACAAATAAATAAATGAAAGTGGGAGGAGGAGGAGTAAGGAAAAAAAATATACTATTTTTTTAATTGTAAAGTTGTTATTCTATCAGCTTGAAAAGAAAACTGCAGCCATCCTTTTTCTGTGTCAAAGAGTCTGCATATAGTTACTCGGGTCTGTCTGCCCAGTAATAATAGAAATGCCTTAAGCTTGGCTTTAATATGTGATATGTTTAATATTCCACTTTTTCTTTAGACTGTGAAGGTGAAATCAATGTGGTTGGTTAATCTGACCTGGCAGTAGCTGATGACTGGTCCAAAGCTTTTGGAGGAGATACATGTCCAGCCAGTATTAAAATGAAAGGTTTCACATGAAGATAAATTCTTCCATGAAACCCCACTTGAGTCACTATCTTTTTGTGAGTCCAGCCTTCATGTTTGCTTGTCCTGAGCTTTTCCCATGTTGATCAAATCTCTGCACAATTGGTCTCCAAGGGAAATACCCATCTCTGGAGACAACTGGCTGAAACACAGGGAACCGCAGTACTGCGCATCTCTCAGTATAATCATTTTCAGAAGCTTTTGCCCTGGGAAAAGAAAACTTACAATCTCTGGAGTTTTATCTGACTCAAAAGCCTCTCTCTTCCTCACTGCACACCTTCATGTTTCTGTCAATGACACTTGTTTTCTGGCCTACTGTCCTGGCACTCTGAGCTGTGAAGTCTCTTCCTGCCTGGCAGAGCACAAGTGAAGAAGTGTTTAGATGGACTCAAGTTTCTGCTTCACTGGCCACAACATTTCTGTAGGAAACCTCTACTCATAGGTTAGCTGATTGCACTGCAAAGGGGAAAGGCTTTCATATATAGGCAGTGACCCAAACCTGTGCTGGGCCCATTTGTAAAAATAGAGGTGTGGAATCAGAATGCTGCCACTAAGAGACTAAAGACTTGCATTCCCTTTTTTTGCCGAGTTTTTATTATGCATAGCAACCTAAATTCCCTCTTAAAGCTTTGAATCCTCTGTGGTTAACTTACAGAGATACCAGAGTAACTGGAACCAATAACCACCAGTGATTGCATCAGACCATTAGCAACCTCCTCTTGCTATGCTGTCATCTTTTTCTAAGCCCCAAGGGACTACAAACACCAGCAGTATCCCAAAACCCTTTCTCTCCCAGCTCCACAAAGAGCATCAGAGGACGTTTGCTCTTGAACTGAACCTGCTTTCCTCTCCCCTCCCTGTACCATTCAGCAGAGGCTGTGAGTTCGCAATATAAATCAGTGTTGGACAAAGACCTAACACCAGTGTTTGAGATACTTTTCTATTACATTTCATGTTTTTACATATTACCACAATAAAAGAAGACTTACGACTTGCAGGAAACCCCTTAGTTTGGACAATGGCAGTACAGGGAGAGCTTGCTTTGTAAGGCTGTAGCTCGGTACGCTGCAGTTGTGGGTCACTGTGTTAATCATAATGGAGTACATTTATTTTTCACACATTTGACTTTAAAAGGGTGATAACAAATAAGTACTTTCAATGTCTTGCAGCAATGGATGTGTAATCCTGCAGAAACTGTACAACTAGTTCACAGCAAGATTTATGAGCTCGAGTCTGGTTTTATGACCATTTGTTTGGGGGAAAGGAGCAATTTCCAACTCCCAGCTGCTTAGTGGAGCTGGAACAAACTACACAATCCAAAAAAATGGCATTATGTAAATATTGGGGGGGGGTGTTTTCAGAATTGCCTGACAATAAGCACTATGATCACTCACTGACAAAATACTTCTGCATAACCAAATGTCAGGAGCAGTTGCTTTCATGCAATCCCCTTGGAACTGTTCTGACTATATGAGAAAAGAAAAACATCTGTTGACAAAGGTATGATGAAGCGGAAAACAGGACCTGCTGCCTTTAATGCAGAGATCCTAGTGTGTATTTTAAGACAAAAGAGACTGATAATAAACCAAAGGCTCTCAATTTAATGATGCATTACATTATAGGTGTGCTGTTTAATATTATTATGTATTACTTGATTCCAGTAATATGCCACAGGCAAACACGAGAAGGAAAGCACAGCTCCTGACTGTACAAGGCATCAGCTGGGCACAGGAATGAGAAAGCTGTGGACTGAGCTGGCCTGGGCAGGCAAGGGCCAAAGGCTGACTCTTCACTTGGCTTCCTCTCCATTCAGCATGAAACTCAAAAGGCAGATCATGCAAGAGGCAATGCTTCGAATCAGCATCTTGTCTCCTCTTGCAGCC